CTTCCCCCATCCTCCCTCCTGCCCACACTCCCACCCTGGCTCCTCCTCCATCTAACAGCCCACTCTTAATTTTTACAAAGATCAAGTTTCAGTTTACTTTATACTCATAAGATTAACCCTACAGTAGGCAGAGCTCAACAAATAGCACAAAGAGAGGGGGGGACCCTCTTCCTCAACACGGAGACGAGGGCTGTGAACAATCATCAGACCACAGACTCAATCGCTCCCATACGGGCCACTGTAGGTGCAGACCAGGGAGAACAGATGGCATTTGTCTTTGGGGACTGGCTCACTGCACTAAATAAAATGGTTTCCAGGCGCATCCATTCAGTTGCAAAAGACAGGGATTTCGTTGTTTTAACCACTGAGTTGTGTACACTGTGGAATACTTCTCGGAGTTCTAATTCTTGAAGGCAGAGTTCACTGGGGGGTTTGGGGCCACGTCCACATCTGCCCCCTGGACGGACACTGCACTCTGTGGGCAGGGCACCCGGATGCAGACAGCTGTCAGCTCAGTGGGGCTGCACGCGCCCCAGCGGGGCTCCGAGAGGCAGCTCCTCAGGTCCAAGCGGCTCAGCTCAGCTGCACAGAGGCCTCTGCTGTGGGACGGCTGTCGTCCTGAGAAAATACCAGAGAAAGCAGCCCAGCGGCCAGGGGTGTGGACCGGGGCAGGAGGAGGACTTGTTCCGCCTGTGCTGTGAGCGCTTCTGCTGGTGTCCGGCAGCCGCGTGTGCACCGGGAGGAGTCTGCAGTCCAGCCCGGTGGCTAAAGCTGTGCTGCTTGGGTCACGGGTGAGAGATGAGGCCGAGGCACTGAGAGCGTCCAGCCGCTGTCCCCCCATCCTCCTTTCCTCCAACCTCATCGTCTCCCTTGATCCCAACAGCCAGCCCCAGGAGACCCTCCGCGCCCCCACCCTTCCAGCAAGGCCTCGCCCGCACTTGCCGGTTCACAGTTTCATCCGCGAGTGTTCCAGGGGTGGCTGTGTGTCACCAACCCGCAGGGGTGAGACCGCGAGCGCTCCAGGGGCGGCTGTGTGTCACCCACCCGCAGGGGTGAGTCTGCGAGCGCTCCAGGGGTGGCTGTGTGTCACCCGCCCACAGGGGTGAGACCGCGAGCGCTCCAGGGGCGGCTGTGTGTCACCAACCCGCAGGGGTGAGACCGCGAGCGCTCCAGGGGCGGCTGTGTGTCACCCACCCGCAGGGGTGAGTCTGCGAGCGCTCCAGGGGTGGCTGTGTGTCACCCGCCCACAGGGGTGAGACCGCGAGTGCTCCAGGGGCGGCTGTGTGTCACCAACCCGCAGGGGTGAGACCGCGAGCGCTCCAGGGGTGGCTGTGTGTCGCCCGCCCGCAGGGGTGAGTTCCGGAAACTCTGTGGGCAGAATGCGCTCACACAGAGCTCGACGGCGCAGGTCAGCCACGTGGAGGGGCACGTGCAGCGGGGGGGCCGGTTCTGGCGCCTGGGTCACTTTTCCACAGCAAGCCTCGCTGCACCCGCGGAGGGAACACACTCCGAAGGGACGGCGAGTGCAGTGCAGTGTGGACGGGAGCCGGCAGCAGGGTCCTGCGGCCTCGCCCTCCAGCGCTGTGTGCAGGCGCAGGCGCGGACGCACACGCCCGTGCACGTCACCGGGCGTGCTGTGCCTCTGCGCTCGCCATCACCGCAAACACGGAGCCGCCAAGGCGGCGAGGACACTGGAGCTTCCGGCTGCATCACGGTCCAGGGCCCCGCCTTCATGGACCAAGCAGGACTCATCACCGGGAAGGCACCGTCCTCACTGCCTGCAGAGACATTTCCAGACGTGATTCCGAATCGGACATACTGTTCTGAGTAGCGGGTTCAGGACCAGCCGGAGCTTCTGACTCCTTAGCTTGGATTTAAGGACGCGCCTTCGCAGGGCACGTGGAGAGCGGGAACGCGCCCGGGGGCATCTGTGCCCCTGAGCCGTGCCCGGCCCATCCCCCAGCTCCTAAGTGAGGGGCAGAGAGGGGGCGGCGCGGTGGGCGTGGCCGATCCCCCAGCTCCTAAGTGAGGAGCAGAGAGGGGGCAGCGCAGGGGCGTGGCGGAGAGCTCCTAAGTGAGGAGCAGAGAGGGGGCGGTGCGGTGGGCGTGGCCGGGAGCTGGTAACTGATGAGCAGTGGGGGCGGCGCGGTGGACGTGGCCGCGAGCTCCTAAGTGAGGGGCAGAGAGGGGGCGGCGCGGGGGCGTGGCCGCCTCCACTCCAGGAGCTGCAGCCTCTGCTCCTCACTTGAGAAACGGCTGAGCGGTCCGAGTTTTCTGGGAAGACGGTGGACGCAGACTGGGAACAAACAGCAGAGAGCTGGGATCTGGGATCTGGGAAGCGTTCGGACTGCTTGGGTGCACATTGGCCCCCAGAGTTCCCATCCACCAGAGCCCACGGGAAACTGAGTCCTGCAGCTGTAATCAATCAACCCACATGTCCCCTTCTCTCCAGGAACGCAGGCCAGATCAGCAGCCGGGCAGGGCCAGATCAGAGCCGGGCAGGGCCAGGGCCTGCACTCCCGTCAAGGTTCCCGGGGCAGAGCGCCTACCACTAGCGGGTACGCGGTTTATTCCACCCAGGGTCATGCATCTGTCCCCACGTTTGCTGCCACCCCTGGCTCCCCTGTGTGCTTTCCCAGGGGAGACCTCTGCTCTAGTGGTAACAGCCACCCACAGGGTGAGCCTTGCACACAGCCCCTTGTCAGGACAAACAGCCACAGCTCTGGGGGCAGGACTGGTCACTGCCCGCCCCACACCCAGGGACATGACCAGCCACTCCCCCACAGCTCTGTGCCGGAGCTGTACCGGCCCCTCCCACCACACAGGGGCAGTGCACTCCTGAGGCTCGGCTCCCCTGCAGGCATCTTGTGCACCACCCACCCGTGGGCCTGGGGGCTTCCCTCAGCACTGGGAAACCAGTGATTTAAGGAGTGCCGGGCCCCACACGGGGACACTGTGCACTTCTTCCACGCAGGGGTCTCGACTGTAGCCGACCGAGGCTGTTGAAATAGGGTCCCCCACGTGCTGTGACCCGCATGCTTTGGTCAGCGGTGCCCCTGCAGCAGGACACTGCGCCCTGTGAGGGCATCCTGCTCTCGGCTCCCTCCCAGAATCAGGGCGCAGCCCGCAGGCTCCGCTAGTCCTTCCCGCTCCTGTCACCTGCCGCCCTGGTGACACTGCACTGCGCGGGCAACTGGGCAGAGGGTGCCCCAGGGGGCAGGCGCTTGCTGCTTTCTCCTGGGGCAAGCCAGTCTCAAACAGCCCCTTCCTAATGAAGTGACAGCATGGGCGTAGGCACTGAGCGAGATGGGGTGAACCAAAAGCTCCACCACAGCCCACGGGCCCTTACTGCCTGGGGCACAGGGACGCCTGTGCTCACCACACCCCACTGCAGGTGTTGACGGGCGTTCCCAGGCAGACCAGGCAAGAGTCCAGCTCCCACGCACGCACCCTGGGAGGCAGCAGGTGCAGCTTGGGAGCCGCCCCCCCGCCTGACTTAGCACCAGCGCCAAACCTCCCACAGGGGTCTGTAGCGTCTTCCCCAGCACAGCGTCCCTCCGAAGGCCAGCGATGCAGGGCAGTGGGCTGAGCCACCACGTGCCATGCCTGCATCCCAACCAGAGTCCAGGCACTCACGTCTGGTCCAGCTCCCCGCATGACTTTGCCATGCAGGAACTGTCTCCCATTTAAAAGCTGAAGAACCCAAGCCCCAGAGGTGACCCTGCCACACCCCAGATCTCGAAGCCTCATGCCAGGCAGAGCGGTTCCTCTCCCGGGGCACACACTTCCCCTGTGCTGTAGGGCTGTGCAGTGACCAGTACCCTCGAGGAGCTGTGGCTGGTGGGCTGCTACCTCACTGCCGACTGCTATAAGCACGTTGTTGCAACGAGATATAAGATGCCGGTGTGAGGCAGCTATGTGGAGCCCTGAGGCATCCCAACTCCCGGCCACAGCGTCTGGGCCCGGCACTGTCAGCTCACCACGGCCTGTGTTGAAGACCTCGCCCCGCCTCTCACCGCCTGCAAGTCCCTGCGGGGCCTGAACCTCGACGGGATCATGCTGGACCATGATGGGGCGGCGGTGCCGCGCGAGGCCCTGGCCCACGTGGACTGTGTCCTGCAGCTGCTTGGGCTGCACAAAACTGCAAACGGTAAAGAAAGTCGGATGCTGCTCTCAGCTGTGGAAGAGAAAAAGCCCGACTGTTGCTCCCCCTCTTCGCGGAGGAACGACACTAGACCCTGCGCTGTTCTTTCGTCTGCTCGGCCCTTCCCGGGTTTGCTGCTGGTTCTTCCTGGGTTGGCTGCCGTCCCTTCCACCTCCATGGAGGGGCAGCTCCCCCTGCCACTTTCCCCACTTCCGCGGGGGAGCGGCACACCGCCGGCCGGCTCTCTCAGGGGCTGCTCAGGTGTTCCTTCAGATAGATGTTCCTCTTAGATGTTCCTGGTGCATGTTGTCTCTCTCCTCCTTTATAGTCCTCTTCCACCAATCCCAACTCTGCTACCCACACGCCGAGCACGCTGCTCTCCTCCAATCAGGAGCAGGATCAGCTCCTGCAGGTCATCACTCAAGTTGGCGAGAGGCAGCTGCATAGAAGTTTACTCCTCTCCCAGCGCCATATTGTGGGAGAGCAGATGCATAGAATAAGTCTTAATTCCAGTAACTTAGTCTAGTCTCAGTTGCTCCCCACACCTGACCTGACGATACGACACGAGCCGTGGACCGCGGAAGAGAACAAGACGAAGGGTGCGGCCCTCTGGGGGGGACCAGCCGCTCTTCCTCATCCAAAGTGCACATCCTGGCAGGGGGACTGCGACCTCAGGGCCAGTCCTCCACTGCACAGGATTGTGGGTGTGCGCTGTGGGCTCTGGCTCCGCCTTCTATTCCCACGCTATTTGCAGTAGTTAGAAAATACACTGAATGTATGTTGAACATGCAAAAAAAAAAAAAAAACACACACACACACACACCAGCCACCGTGTCTCCTAGATACTGGCATACGTCGCTGGCGTGACTGATTTTCCATGTTAATTTCCTTTATTTTGATCATTATGGGAATGACTTACTCTAACCGTTCAGCCAATTTCTAAAGAACAAATTAAAATCTTGAAAATAAGGCTGTGTATCTACTGCGTGGAGAGTTCAGGTGATGGTCCCACAGACGCACAAGCACACTGTGTGCGCCCCACGGCTGGGCATCTCATCTGCATACAGGCTTGGTGGTGGCCTCAGGGCCCTGGAGCATGGGGAGCCCACCGGCAGGAGCCATCTGCCCCGACCCCCTCCTCCCAAGAGGCCAGGAGTCAGCAACCGACGCTCATCACAGCGAATCGGGGTCTCACTGAGGTCGCACCAGGTGACCAGCGGACACGCTGGCGTCTTGTTGCCATAAATAGCCACGTGTGCCTCACAGAGCTTTGTGAGAAACGGGGGACTATTACAAGTGGTTCTCGACAGACGTGCTGCCACTTCTGTGCTGAGGAATTGCTACGGAGCAGAACCTCAAGCAAACCGCACTGCTTTCTGGGCTCCCAGAGCAGAACTCAGGCAGCGAGGGGAGTGGGCAGCCAGCTCCAGCCGCCTCGTACTCACTGGCCAAGCATTTGTCTTCCAACCAAAATCCTGCATCACAACCTGCATTTACCACTGATTTATGTGCCTTCTTCTTTTTAAATCCAGGGCTGCATTCTTGAACTGCGACCCACTAAAGGATTTAGCAGATACAGCAGAATCCCCATCACCGCATTGCCCTCCGCTTCCTTTCATCTGGGCAATAGCCGCAGGAAGAAATTCTGCAGGAGGTGATGGCTAAATGCAGGCATTGTACGTGAGTCAGTGTCGGTCCTGAGCCGGCGAGTGCCGGGTGCAGACACAGGGGCGGAAGCAGGCTCTCTGCCGTCCACAAGTCCACGGGGGCAGGCGTTGGTGCAGCAGTTACGACGCTGCTTGGGACGCCGACACTCCACATTGGGTGCCTGGATCCAAGTCCTGGCTCTGCTCCCAATTCCAGCTTCCTGCTAAAGTGTGCTCTGGGAGGCAAGGGGCTGGCGCAAGTGCTTGGGTCCCTGCCATCCACAGGGGACACCTGGACTGAGTTCCTGGATCCCAGGTGAGGACCACTGGGGGCATACGGGGAGTAAGCCAGCAGACGAAGGATCTCTGCTTTTCTCTGCCCCCACCCCTCTTCTTTCCCTCCCCACCCCCAACACGGGATCTGCAAAACACTCATGGAAATGCATATTATGAAAACAATGATTTCAAAAGTTTCTGCAACAAAATAAACTTATCTTAATTCCCTTCTTCCACAGAATTTTTGAGGTCCCCTGATATATACAATTGGTCAGAAAAACTAGACAAATTGCCTCTGTTGAAAGAAAAACTTGACATCAAATGAAATTTAAGAGTGCGTTTGAGCAAAGAGTGATTCATAAATCGACCCCTGGCCTCCCTGTGGTTTTGGACCCCAGCTGGAAGAATGGTATGGGTTCTGCCCAAGCAGTGGGAACAGGAGGCTCCTATGGGCTGACTGTGGAAGCAAAGCATACTGGGTTGGCCACAGTCCACAGTCAGGCATGTGCTGGGGTCTGCTCTGATGGGAGTTCCAAGAACAGTTGGCTGGGTGGCTGCTTGGGACTGGCTGCAGCCCAACCGAACGTTAATCAATTGCAAGCAACGCCTCTGAGTCGAGTGTATTGGCCTGCAGAGGGGTTCCAGGTATAGGAAGGACTCCAGGTTAAGGGCTGCTTGTTTGGCTTCAACAGTTTCCCAGCCCCACCGGTCAGTCTCGGGTCTGGGGAGATCGACCAGGCCTTTGCACAACGCCATTCTCTGTCACCATCACATGTATTGATTTATGTGTTTTTAAAACAGCTTCTCTTTTTAAAGCCTTTAATTTCGTATCTATTTAACTTTAATGTGTTTGAAAGGAAAAGAGACAGGCAGATCTGGCTAACTCTCTAAATCTGTAACAGCCAGGGCAGGCCCCAGACAAGGCCACACACGTCCCCACACGGATGGTAGGGACCAGGTACTTGAACCATCACCATGGCCTCCCACGGCGTGCAGCAGCTGGACGCTGGAGTCAGAAGCAGCGCTGGCACTTGAGCTGGGGCGCTCTGATAAGGGATGGACGTGTCCCAGCTGGCCGACTTACCCACCGCGGCCACACCCACCCAACCATCATGTTCGTCTCTCTCTTTTTTTTTTAAGATTTTTTTTGAAAGGCAGAGTTACAGAGAGGCAGAGAGAGAGAAAGAGAGAGAGAGAGAGAGATCTTCCATCTGCTGGTTCACTCTCCAAATGACCACAGTGGCCAGAGCTGGACTGATTCAAAGCCAGGATCCTGGAGCTTCTTCCAGGTCTCCCACGTGGGTGCAGGGGCCCAAGGACTTGGGCCGTCTTCTACTGCTTTCCCAGGCCACAGCAGAGAGCTGGATCGGAAGTGGAGCAGCCAGGACTCGAACCAGCGCCCATATGGGATGCTGGCACTGCAGGTGGCAGTTTTACCTGCTATGGCACCGCGTCCGCCCTGTGGTTTGTCTCTTTTTCAGCATGAGCCCATAAGTCAGGACATCCAGCTCACTGGGAAATCTGTGTTTTCCTTTGTCCGTGTACTTGTGTTGCTCAGATCACCGTGAGACCGTCTGGATTGCCGTGGTGGCTGTGGACATACATGTGAGACTGGAGAGGCTGTGGCACACAGGAAGATGGCGGTGGCGACTTACAGGGGTGATGCCAAGGTGCTGACGCACCCTCCTGCACGAGGCGCCAGGAACCACATCCATGAGCATTTCCAACCAAATGTGCGTGGTCAGAAGAAGCGGTAAGCTGTCTTTGAGTCCAGAAATCAATGAACTGGTGACATTCCTAGATGTAAGCGCGAAGCGTGTTTCCTAATATGCAGTCTGAGAGTGCCTGGCTATGGCCTGGTGGCCTGGTGGCCCGGTGGCCAGGTGGCCAGGTCCAGGCGCTCTAATCAGACTTGCTGTGACTTCCGTGCGAGGAGTGTGCGAGGAGGGCTCACAACCCCGACCTGGGCACACGTCAGCCAGCAGTTCCAAGCTGCCAAGGACAAGGGACGGGACTGGACGCTGACACCCACAGGGCGCACCGCAGCTTTCCACGGACGGAATTCTTCCTCTGCAGGGCACGCGTGTCTGCCACAGCAGGGCACGTTGTGACCTAGGCTGTCCCCTTGATCACGCCTGTCACTCACAGCAGTCAGCAAGGTCGGCCACTGCCCAGCCCGCCCCGCGGCTCCTGCTGCCCGGCAGCTGCTCACAGGGACGCTCAGTGGGGCGTTCCCAGGGCCTCTCCAGGCCCGGAAGCCAAGCCAAGGAGCCTGCCTGCCTTTGCCCACAACACCCGGGGAATGCAGTGGACTTCTCTCCTCTTCACGTCCCGGACCTTCGAAGCCCAGTTCTCCCGGGAGTTTCCTCAGCACTGGCTTCCCAGCGTCAGCGTGAGTTGTGTGGACCTGTCTAAGCACGTCTACGCACACCCGTTCTTCAATACAGCCTTCTCCTTACAGACGTGGCCGGGTGGGCAACGCCTGCAACTGCCTCGTTCCACGGAGAGCACACGCTTATCGAGGCTGTGTGGACAACTGCGTGGCCAGGAAGGCAAGAGCACGCAGCATCAGAGCTGTCAGAGAACAGATGTTTCCACTCTACGGAAGTGTAAAGGCACCACACTGCTGATGGAGAGCCTGCGAAAACAAAAACAGCCTTGAACATGAAAGCAAAACAGAAAAGAGTAACATTCGAACAGAAAGACCATGAAACGAATAGCCACCGTTCTTCCTCAGGTCCTCAGTCTTAGTGGGTGCTGGTGACGTTCAGAACCAACCATGTTCTCCCTCCGCCGGCGCTGTCTTCAACTTGGCAGAAACCTGCATTTGTCAGAACTGTTCTCCATAAATCTCTCTGAAGACAAAACATTGTCACAGGCTTTCAGGAAAGCATCAGGATCACACCATCTTCTGTGGACGCCGAGTGAAAACGGCCATGTGAGCGATCTGACAGGAGCTCACGTACTTTAACACACAGGGACATTACAGCTTTACGCCACACACAGTATTTGATAGAACTAAAATTACAGCTGAAAACATTGCCCCAGGCCATATCACATTTCAGGAAATTCCGTACAATTTCTGGAACACAGAGTAATAACATATACATAAAACTCAAAGAATGGTAAATATTATTTTTGACAAAATTATAGTTCACTTACAAAAATGGTAACTTTTATTGTAAAAAACTTAGGTCAATGCTGTCATGGTCATGCTTAATTGAGAATGATGGATTTACTTTAGACAGTTTAAGCTACACTTTAGTATAGATTAAATGATAATTTATATGGAGAAAAATCTCTTCAGTTATTGGAAGAAAGACCACAATATATCATTTTATTTATATAAAATGTTTTAAATTCAAGGGCTGATGTGGTACAGCAGGTTAGGCCGCCGCTCAAGACACTGGCACCCTATGTGGGCACCGGTTTGAGTCCCAGCTGCTCCACTTCCAATCCAGCTCCCTACCAACGTGCCTGGAAGGCAGCCGAGGATGGCCCAAGTGCTTGGGCCACCCACGTGGGAACCCAGATGGAGCTCCTGGCTTGCCACTGAGGCTGCGTGGGGAGCACACCAGAGGATGAACTTCGATATCTATCCCTGTCTCTCTGTGTGACTTTGCCTTTCAATAAATAAATCTTTTAAAAATGTTTTAAATGCAGCATCTTTTTTGTTGCCAATTATATTCAATTCACTTTTGTGATTTTACAAAAGAATATAGATGACTTTTGTAAAATGCCTCAATTTTAGAGTAAAATAATTTTTTACTGGTTAAAATAATTTAAGATTTGCACAATGTCTCTGTGCTATTTAAGGCAGGTGTTGAGCACATTTGGAGAAGCAATAAACTTACCAAATAGAACGTCCTCCCAAAGGGAAAAATAAGGAAAAACTTATGACATTGTTTTTAAGACAGATGTTTAAATCACCCTCTGCTTTTAGATCATCTAAAAATAATTTGGCAGCTGCTATGGCCATAACACATAACCCTTTACAGTAGGCAAAAAAGATGCAGAATTAGTGGTACATCTTTAATATTTTCACACGTCTCTTCAAGTCGGTGCCTAGTGGCATTCAACGCAATTTTTGTACTCAACGTAAAAATATTTACAAGACAAACTGGCCTGATTAGAAGCCCTCCGCGCCAAGTGGAAAAGAAGCCAGCGTTGTACACATCACCGCTCCCAAGTAGCTCTAATTGAAACCCAAACTGTTCTCACGTCTGCATGGCTGTGGGACAGAGATCCAGAATGGCCACAGGTTAGGAGACAACTGTTCACGCGTGTCCTTCATTTTGCAAACCAGGACCTTATGAAAGGAAGCTTCGCGTGCCCCGTGTACTCTATACAACCCCGAGTAAACACGGCGGCTCTGGGCCAGCCTCCTCGAGGCTTTGAGTTGCTCCAGCAGGGCGGCCCCAGAGCAGAGCAGGGCTGGGTGTCCAGCCCCTCCTCAGAGACCTGCATTTCAGTCTCATCACAGCCCTGACCTTCTCCCTCCTCCTCGGGGCCATCCGCACGAGTGCCGGGAAGCACTTCCAAAGCCGCCTCCCCTCCCGGGAAGCCTGCCTGGCCTGCACATCACGGGCCACTGACCTCCCGCCCCGGGAAGCCTGCCTGGCCTGCACATCACGGGCCACTGACCTCCCGCCCCGGGAAGCCTGCCTGGCCTGCACATCACGGGCCACTGACCTCCCGCCCTCAGCTGGGTCAGCACTGCTCCGCCATTCACACCTGGGAATTCCGCTCGTTCATCTCTGACACGGAAGTGCTTGGACACAAAACAAAAGTTCTCCATCTCTGCTTCCACGGCCATGTGACGACCCCACCCGGCTTCTTTATTTCCAGTGCTGGCCATTTTCTTAATTTAGAACTCCAGCTACTTTTGTCCTTTCTCTGCAGATGCGTGCCTCCCGTGTGCCTTGTACTCCTCCATCCTGTTCCACTGTCACAGCACCCGTGGCTCTTTCTAGAAGAGGAGCGCGGTGGTCAGGCCCGTGGCTACGCGGCCTGGGTCAGCCCAGCCTGGCCGTGACGGCTGAGCTCCATTCTCATGTGGGTCACCACTTACCATGATTTTATGGTTTGACAGTGTTTCCATGAAAATTCAGCTTCCATGAAAATTCAGCTTCCAGGTAAGTCTTTCTTGCTTAGCATGTCTAAAGACGAAGAAACATTCTTCTAAGATGCTGTCGAGGCCACGTCGCCACAACACACCCAAATCAGCTCAGCGCTAAAGCACTTTGCTTAGAACTTTGAAAGTTGTCAAAAGTGCCAAAAGGCTTGAAATAAAACTTATTCAATAGGATCACAGGTCCCTATGAAACAACACACACCTAACTGGCGACCCAAAGACTTTAAAACCAAGCACAGAAAGTCACACGGGTGTCAGAAAAGGCCTGAACTTTTAATGGAGGAAACCAGCTTTCTTAAGTAACAAAAGGCCTGATAAAAGTCAGAGGCACAGGAAATTACTTTACTAAGGAACAAACTAGCTGTTTCCTAGATGGATTACTTAAAAGGTAAAGCAAACACTTCACAATTTCTTATTAATAGCAGATCAGTACGCCAAGAAAATCTTACTTTAACAAAGGAGACAAAATTCTAGTTGTGCAGTTGTGCAACGTTGACTTCACAGTTCAAGTTTTACAGACAGACGGTTCCTTTCAACTCGTAGCCAGAGAGGTCAGGCACAGAAGTCCTGTTCCAAGACCCGGCTTCCACAGGTCTTCTGTGTCTACTCCCCTGTATCTGCTCAGGTTCATGCTACACTTTCCCTCTTCCTTACTGAGGATAAAAGGTCATTCTGTTTGAAGACCACATTGCTCTCTTTTCTCTTAACAAAGTAAAGTCCATCTTTGTACCATATCAAGCTCCTCACCAAAAACACATCTTATCTTCCTTGTATTCTTGCACATATAAGAGTTGTTTCTCTTATTACTTACAGAAATTGCATTTACCTTATACAAGTAAAAATTCTTAACTTTTTAAACAATTTTTGTTTATTTGTTTGAAATGCAGAGTTACAGAGAAAGACAGAAGGAAGGAGGGCGGAGGAGGGAGAGAGAGAAGAAAGAGGGGAAAAAAGAGAGATATCGTCCATCTTTGGTTCACTCCCCAAATGGCCACAATGACCAGGGCTGGACCAGGCAGAAGCTGAGTCTAGAACTCCGCCTGGGTCTCCCACGTGAGTGGCAGGAGCACAGGTGCGTGGGTCGTCATCCGCTGCTTTCCCAGGTGCATCAGCAGGGAGCTGGGTGGGAGGTGGAGCAGCCACTCGTACGGGATGCCAGTGCTAGGCAGCAGCTTAACTCGTAGTAACTTTAATGTTTAGTGAAACCAGGAATCAGCAAGTTGTGAACTGTGCCACATGCTAACATTTTACTTTATAATTTCTAAAAATGTTTGCTCACAGAACAGTTTTTCCAAGTGACGCAGGTCACACGTATTGACAGACCCAAACATCTTCAGCCACTTTTTGTTAAGAAGCCACAGGTGGAGGCTGACAGCCAATGCTCCGGTATCTTATCTGATTTAGAAATGATCTAGATACTTCATGCATATACATCATTTAATTTACCTAACGGAACTCCAAGGTGACAGTATAAAAGATACTTAGAAAACCTTAGCAGACATTATAAAACTTGATCATTGTTGAGACGTTTTTACTTATAAACTTTTGTGTTCTGACATCTAGTTAATTTAGTTGTTCTTAACAATTATGCTTAATTACCTCTGAAATTTCATGAAACATTAAACAAAGCTACCCACCATCTTAAATCGTTTCCCTGTTAACTGTTTCCTCAGAATGTCCATGTTAGACAGTCATCATGAAGCAAGAATTCTTAAAGAAATGAATCAGTAAATCGGGTCTTGGTCTGTTTTACTTCTGTTCTTGATATGCACAGACATTGTATTTCCACTTCCATAAATGCTCTCAAGTAGAACTCTGAGTTCCAGAAGCTGAACATCTGGTGGAGATAACCAGCGTCACTGACCATAAAGTCTGGTGGAATAAGAGCTGCGTCAGCATGGAATTCCATGCGATGGCTCTAAAGGCAGCCTTGTTTCAAGCAATCCAATACATTTGGACAGTTCTTATCTGAGGATTATCCCAGAGGATTATCCCAGATTTCATGACCTATGAAAGCATTTTGGGCTGCTGCTTATTTTTCTAAGAGTAAGAAATGCTTAATGTATATGGTCTCCTATTCTTCTTTAGCCAACTAAATAGAGATATTTTATACATTCAATTTGACAATATCATCCAGAGCTAGAAAAATGTTCCGTATACCTGCACATACGCATACACAGCTGCACACACACGCAGACATGCAGAGACAGGCCTCACAGATCCATCCTCCAGCGTCATTCAGGTACGAGAATACAAAGCTGACCAGCTTCTTTCTTCATGTGGTATTTTATCTTAAAAATTATTTTACGGAGTACAACGTGTTAGTTATACTTCTGATTGACATAATAATTGTATCTATGAGAGCTCTTCAAACAGTTAATGGAAACGCATATCACGGAAAAGTTATTATGCAAGGACTGCGGAAGGTTTTGCACCAACAAAGACTGTCTCCATCTGAATTGTGCTTCTGGCCAACGGAACACGACCACTTGGTTTCTAAATTTTTATCTGTCAGGCTCCCATCCGCCCAGGCCCAGACAGCAAGAGAAGCCCCACGGGGCCTTGCTGTGGAGCTGGGCCTGGGCAGCCCCCACTCTGAGTCCTGCTTCTGACACCTCACTGTTAGAGCCTCAAGGCCACACAAAAGCCAAGAGTCATTGGAGGAAGCAGTGGTCTGTGGGCCGGGCAGCCCAGAAGCAGAGGGGCCGCGGCCTCACTGGTGGGGGGAGAGTCCCCGCAGGCCAGACACGCCCGGTAAAGAACATGCTGGCCTCTGCCACGGCCAGACACTGCAGCTGCAAAGGTGCAGAAGCGCCGAGGCCCAGGGCAGGGCTTCCTGAGGGCGCCCGGCCGGCACGGCTGGGCTCCACTCCCGGCGCCCCTGAGTGTGGTGCCAGAATCACTCCTGCTGATCTGGCCAGACCTCTGAGGCTACACGGAAGAGGGCTGCCACACATGGGGCACACACATCTGCATGGACACACACACACGGACACGACACACTCGTTCACACGCTCCCACACGCATACACAACACTCATGCACACACAACATTCATGTGTACACACAGGCACATAACAGGCACAACACTCACACATGCACACACAGCTCACACAGGCATCCCCCTGCGCGTGCACACACACACACGCGCACGCACACGCACACGCACACTCCAGAGGCCTGCTCCGACCCCAGCGCCGGCAGCGGCTCAGCATTGTCCTCACTGGTCACACACAGAGAAGGGCCCTGGGTCCAGCGGAGCCCCCAGAGGTGCTGCGGGCTTGTTTTTCAGGGCCAGCTGGTTTACTTCAGCACCATCAGAGCCAGCGTGCGCCTGCAGGGATGCGCTGGGGGAGGTGCGCCCGTGCAAGGACGCGCACACCCGGCAGCCGGCACTTCCATGCGCGCACCCCGGCGGGGCACATCCTGGCCCCGGCGCCTGCGCAGGCTCGGCCCGGGTCTGAAACTGGATCCTTCTGGAAATTCTTTGGGGTGGCCGGCTTTCCTTAGTGGCCGTCCTCGGCATTTTCCGCCGCCTCCGAGTGCCCCGCCCGCGGCTCCGGCGGAGAAGGGCCGAGGGGATGGCAGCCGGCGCCGGGCGGCTCCCTCAGGCCCGGGCACCTGGAGGAAGTCGGATCCCTGCTGGCTGCTGCCGCAGGCGGGCGGAGGGCCTGGCGGGGTCCCCGGCTCCCTGTCCCAGGCGCCACTGCGCACGGTGGCCCTGCTGCGCAAGGGCGTCCAGCAGAGGCCGGAGTGCGCCCTGGCCACCTCCACGGGCCGCGTCTGTCCCTGGTCGGCCCGCGCTCTGCCCTGGCTCGCGGAGGGCCGGCACGGCAGACCAGGGCAGACGCTTCCTTCCCTGCAGCTCCCAGAGTGGACAGGCCCCGTCCCTGCTGCCCCTCCGTGAGGAGACACTGGTGTGCGACCCGGCTCAGAGGCCGCCGGTGTCCGGGACACAGGACACCTGACAGGAGTTCTGGGGCAGCTTGGGGTCTTACGTCAGAAGTGACAACGGGGCTTAGGGTCCAGGCCCGCGGGGGCTGCATGCCAGGACAACCAACACTGCCTGGAGGGGCAGCTGCCCTACCCACAGAGGCAGTCCCTGCCCCTCAGGGGGTCCTCTGGCAATGTCTGGGGTGCGAGGGCGGCACACACTGGTGCTGGGGCCCCCCGAGAGGCTGACTCTGGTCCCCCTGGTGCTGGGACCCCCCGAGAGGCTGACTCTGGTCCCCGGCGCCCAGGGGAGGACCTGAGTCCTCACAGCAGACCCCAGCCCAGGGTTCTCCCTGCGCTGGTCCAAGCGGTGTCCACTGCCTCCCACTCATCCTTGTGCGTCGCGCCGTCCAGCGTCTGCCTCAGCTTCCAAGAAAGACCCAAGACAAGACGCTGGGCACCCACAGGCCTGCCCCACCTTCCTAGGATCCCGGCCAGGGCTTGGCCTCGCCCATGTGGGCGGCGGGGAAACCGCGCCATTCCCTGCGTGAGGATGGAAGCAAACATTTTATACGGGTTTTCGCTGTCACTCGGGATTTGGTTTCATCACCATCCCAGCCTGGCATTGATTTCAAAAGGAAAAGCAACCCCAGAAGCTGTGGGCAGCACACGGCAGGCGTGGTCCTACCTCATCAGGGCTCTAAAACGAGTACTATTTAATCAGTCCAAAAACTCTCATTAAAACCCGTCTTGTAGCATGAAATAATCATTAGAACGTGTCCTTCTGTAACCCGTGTGTCCAGGAAAGTGGAATACGTAGCATCAGCTACTATTTCACACGTGGAAAAGCAGGGTCAGATGGAAGCCCGCAAAGAGGCACGTCCCCAGAATTTGGCAGTAACAGGATCCAGTTCTCGGCAACAAATGGAACGTGGAAGAACCAAGAAATGTGGGTGGCGCGACGCTGCGAGTGGCATTGACAGCATTCGAACATTGTGTGACCAGAGCAAGGGTGTGCACAGAAAAAGGAGAAACATCAAGGAATGTGAGACCGCTGCCCTGGGAAGGTGGACTGGCATATTTGCCAAATGATTGACAGGGAATGTTAAAAAAAAAAAACTTAGAAAAGGTGTTAGTTTCTGCTACTCTTCTTTTATGTCTCTGATATTATTCAAAGCAAGTGCTCGATTCTAAGGTCTAGACCAGAAATAGTCTGAGTAGCGGACAGCTAATGCAGACCCTGCAGCCTCAGTGAGCTGGGATTTCATGGGAGGGGGGAACCCACGGCAGTGTACCCGGCCTGCCACGTCCCAAATTCTACAGAAATCAAAGGGAAGAACAGCCCCATCCAGTGAAGGCGAGAAGGCAGAGGGAGCCCGCTGGGTTCTCATCCCAAGGCCACATCAGAAGGACCGCCCCTCCCTCCTCCCATCAGACTTTGCCCTGATGACACGGCGCTGTGCTGGAGATC